CTCTAGCTCACCTTCGCTACGAAATCATGACAGCGAACTCTATCAATATTTACATCCTTGCTTTATTTTACCACATCGCCAAAGTGGGGTAAGGTTACTTAGTTCGATTACCAAATTGTAGAAGTGTTTTTCGTAGCAGAAAAGTGCTACGGGCGTAGGTAACTTGAAAGAAAAGTAAGTGCTCATGCTCATTTTTAATACTAACACTTTCCTAAGCGGGATTCCATCCCCAAATCGAACTCTATTTAGATATTAGTCCAGAACAATTTTATTAGGTCAGATCTTGAACTAGAAAACAAAGTCTATCAATGACTCAGACTCTCAATGAATGGTTTACTGCCTTTATTGTTAATAAACAACCGGTTATCGATTCTCAATGAGATAACTGATCATACAAACCTGATACATTGTTTCGTGAAGATTGATATGCATTGATTAATCATCGCCTCATTCGCTTTTAGGGTGAAGACACAGTAGGGGTGTTTACGTGGGGCGTAGGAATGTTGTATGAGAACGCCACAAGCCGTGAAAATAACGAAATTCTGTTGGTTGTATAACGTTTCGTGTCATTTCGTCTTATCTCTGCTTTGGTAAAGCACAGTCCTAACACCTAGGACTAGGTGTCGCATGCCCTATACATAAATATCTTACTCTTTATGTCTGCTCATCAATGAGCTTCGTAATACCTTCCTTTAATCCTTCAAGCTCCGCGAATCTAGACACAATAGATAATCAATTGTTATGACATTAATTAATGCCGTCTGGGACTCAATCGGTTAAAAAACAAATACACCTAACTTTTTGGGTTCACTTACTGGTTTGTCTAATCTGCTGAGTGTTGAGAAGCCCACTGAAGTCTGTAAAGATTATGTAATGTAATTAGAATGAAGGCGTAATTAATTAGAGTGCTTTTCGGCTTTAGAGTCAAACGAATTTTAATACTCGCTCTCAGTGTGTCTCAGGTCAGGATATTGCATATTGTATGACATCAACATTGACGTAATATTGATTGCACTTGTGCATACAAATTAATTATTAATAAGCGGATCATTGTCTGCAGTGTTCAATGACTCACCTGTTCAATGATTAAATTCAAAAATTTGCATACAAATTGCATTTTAAAGTAACTAGCTATGTGAACCACGATCGTACCTATTCTGTACTAAGGTTCGAATGTATTAACAGACTATGAAATTTCAGTTTCCCTTTTTTTGCATCAGCCACTAGTTTACGAAGTAATCTTGAATTGAGCAACTAACTCGAAACTGGAAGTAGAATATCGATCAAATGAACGTCATGTTGAATATGGTGTACCACAAGGTAGTGTCTTGGGCCCACTATTATTTATAATTTATATTAATGACCTACCTCGATCTACTGACAACCCTATGACTCTTTTTGCGGACGATAGTACTCTGACTGTAGCATGTAAGCGACCTGACATTTATGAAAATGACATTAATAATTCTTTGACATCAATAATTTCATGGTTAGACAATAATAATTTAAAAATAAATATTTCTAAGACACAAGTTATGAAATTCCGACAAAGAATAATATCTGCACCTGACATAAATGTAATATACAATAACATGACAATCTCTGAAGTAGACAGTGCAAAATTTCTAGGAATATTCATAGATAAACAACTGAACTGGAAGACACACATTGAGTACCTAAGTAAAAAGTTGAGTAGTTCTGCATACGCACTATACAAGTTAGCTCCACTACTAAACGTTGATTCTCTGCTCTTGGCGTACCATGGCTTAGTGGCGTCGAATTTGAGATACGGCGTTATTTTCTGGGGGAATTCTACTGACAGAGAAATTATTTTTAAAATGCAGAAACGTTGTATACGAGCAATGTTTGGAATGAAAGCGGCTGATAGTTGTAAGCCAGTTTTCAAAAAACATAAAATTTTAACATTTCCGTCAATATATATTTTAGAAATAGTACTGTTTGTTAAGGCCAATCCGTCACTTTTTATTCGTTTAGAGGATGTTGTCAGTCGCAACCGACGCGACTACTCAAGACTACGGATGCCCCCCTCAAATTCAGCTCTTATGAGTAAAAGTATATTATGTATGGCACCTAGAATTTACAATAACATCCCCTTAACAATAAAAAAAATAGAATTGTATGAATTTAAAATGAAGGTTAAAAATTTATTAATTGAAAAATGTTATTATAATCTGACGGACTTCCTAAGTGACAAATTTTGATTTACTTCTTAATATTTTTTTTCCATTTCATCTGATTATGCAACATTGACTTTAACTTTAATTTGACTTGATTGATTATGCAGTATTACTGTAATTGATATTTTATTTTTAATTTAATTTGTACACCGCAAAGGTACGACATGTTGATACCATTTTAAATGCTGACTTAACACCTTATGTACACATGTTTGAACAAATAAATGTATCTTTTTCTTTATCTTTATCTAGTGACTGGAATTCACTCCCTGCTGCTGTCTTTCCCTTACTGGACAGTATACCATCCTAGACTGATCTCTCTGATCCAGGTGTAATAGCAGTCAAATGCCTGCTTTATATTGCATGGGAAAAATAATGTATCTATATTAGTGGAGCTCTACTTACTTCTATAGAGTTTCGGCATAAGTTCTTACTTGTATCATTATCATCATCATCATCTCAGCCATAGGACGTCCACTGCAGAACATAGGCCTCCCCCAATGCTTTCCTAATATGCTGTGTACTTACTGTTCGAATCAATCTGCTTAGCAGATGTTTAGTAAAATAATAAGCCGGTCTCACATGTCATATTACCTAACAATGAGGCCAATGTTACTCATCACCCACCACAAAATAAGGATCGGACTAAAAATGGATCTCGAATTCATGAAGTTTTATAAAATTTTCGTTAATTACGTCAATTTTCGCTGCAACAAAGCCATTATGAAACACAAAAGCGATGCTTCCGCGCATTATCGAGTTTGCCAAATTGTCAATCGCATCCGGAATGCATCGATGCCGTTTAATCGGTAATGCTATCATCGATATCCCCTCATAAAAGTGATTTATGAGGACGATCGCTGTAGAAATGGCATGTTAAATCGTCGAAAATGATTTTAATCCCAACTAATATTATAAACTAGCTTTCCGCCCGCGGCTTCGCCCGCGTGGAATTTTGTCTGTCACAGAAAAACTTTATCGCGCGCGTCCCTGTTTCAAAAACCGGGATAAAAACTATCCTATGTTCTTTCCCGGGACTCAAACTATCTCTATGCCAAATTTCATCAAAATCGGTTGCGAGGTTTAAGCGGGAAAGCGTAACAGACAGACAGACAGACAGACAGAGTTACTTTCGCATTTATAATATTAGTTGGGATAGTTTTTATCCCGGTTTTTGAAACAGGGACGCGCGCGATAAAGTTTTTCTGTGACAGACAAAAATCCACGCGGGCGTAGCCGCGGGCAGAAAGCTAGTATAAATATATTCGTTAACTGTACGGCTACATAATGAGTACATCCCCTCAATAATAAATGGTTTACACAATGAAATAAATGAAGAAAACGACTGGGTGATTGTTATACGAGTAGTTACATCGTTTGTTTCAACCAAAAGATAGCTAGAAAAAGGCCTTCCGTGAAGATTTCCACAACGACCGAACCGTTCAGGCCTGCAACCAGGTGCTTACATATACCATCACCAGATCGTCGGTCGATCCTGCCTTCCTGTCCTTGGTATATTATAATCTGCTAGATTTTTTAATTCTTCTTCTTATAGTGTCGACAACAAACCTGTATTAAAAGGAGATAAAACGCCACTGGGTTTAGCTTGATGTGCTATCGTCCATGTTTTTTTAAGGTCGTGATACAAAATACAGTAACTAATTAATTTTCATTTTTCTTTTTATTTAACTAGCTGACCCCGCGAACTCTGTTCCGCCTTAAAGGCAATAAATAAGCCATCGCAATTTTTCCTTATTTGCTCACCGTTTAGACCTACCCTGGACTACGACAAACATTTTCGTTAAAACAATAGTACGGTGTCAGCCCACATTTTTTAATTCATTAGTTAGGGCATAACTTTTGCAATGTCACAATAAGGTTAAGTCAAACTGATACCTACTCGTACTTATTATATTTGAGCCAATACATTCTCGGCGACTTTATAGTACTATTCGTATTTTATTTTATTACTCACCTCGTATTCTTCACTTCGTTTGCGATAAAAGCTTTTATGAGGCCTCTCATGTGACTTTTCATTTTAATAAAACATTATTGAAGTATATTATCAACATTTTATTTCATGACACACATCAAATGCGTATAGCTAGAGCACAGGGTGTTTTATTAAATAAAGTATAATGACAAACGATCCCAACCTTATAATCCTAATCCTTCCGACACACGTGAACAGCATCATCATCATTTCAGCCATAGGACGTCCACTGCTGAACATAGGCCTCCCCTAATGCTTTCCACGTTGATCGATTGGTAGCGGTCTGCGACCAGCGCTTCCCTGCTACCTTTACGATGTCGTTGGTCCACCTTGTAGGTGGACGTCCCACGCTGCGTTTTCCGGTACGCGGCCTCCATTCCAGAACCCTGCTGCCCCATTGGCCGTCAGTTCTGCGTACTATGTGCCCAGCCCATTGCCACTTCAGCTTGCTAATTCGTCGGGCTAAGTAAGTGATACCTATTAAAAGATAATGATTCAGAGTGATATTAAAAGGTAAATGAAACAAGTAAGGACTTTTGGTACAGACTCATCAAAAATTTAGACTACACTTCTGTTCAACTTTGAACAGTAGCATTTTACATAAAAACTCAAATCGGACGATTTATATTGTATCAATACCACAGAAAGAGCCCATAATGACTATGGGTTCTGTCAATCTTTATTTATATCACACTAGTTTTTGCCCGCGGCATCACCCGCGTGAGTTTGTTACAGATCGTCATAAATTATAGCCTATATGTTAATTAATCTGAGTTATAAACAAAATCACTCTGGATTATGAGAATCAGGTTGCGGAAGTAGGAAGGCGCATCGGACAAGCTTGGGCGGCATTCGGGGCAAACAGCGATGTTCTACGCTCCAAGAAAATTGCTCAACACATAAAGACCAAGGTGTTCAACCAGTGTGTACTGCCGGTCTTCGTGTATGGGATGGAGACCACGACGCTGACAGAAAAGTCTGCTGAGAGACTCCGAGTCGCACAACGAGCAATGGAAAGACAGATGCTTGGCGTCTCCCTACAAGATCACAAAAGGAACGAGTGGATCAGAAAAAAGACAAGGATCAGCGACGTGGTGGAAGAGATTGAGAGCCCTAAATGGAGATGGGCAGAGCACATTGCACGGAGGAACCAGGATCGCTGGGCCAGAAAAACCCTGGAGTGGAGACCTCGCAACAACACCCGCGGCAGGGGAAGACCGCCTAACTAAACGATGGATAGACGATATCCGGCAGCAGGCTGGAGTGAACTGGATGCGTGTGGCCAGGGACAGAAGTCGGTGGAGGGTTGAAGAGGAGGCCTATGTTCGAAGGCGAACCCAAAGGCTGACATAGATAGATAGATAGATAAACAACAATACTGTAAAGTTTCATCAAAATCCGTTCTGTAGTTTTTGCGTGAAAGAGTAACAAACATCCAGACATCCAGACATCCAAACTTTCGCATTTATAATATTAGCACGATTAGTAGGATAGGATATTCAACTGTTATGGTTATTTTTGTATCTAAATTACCATTTCTATGCTAAAGCAAGATATTATCCGAACATAAAAAGTTAGTGTTTTTTAGCTGACAGGACAAGCATTTTATCTGCGCCGGCCGGTCATAAATCTATTCGCTGGAAAGGAATTGATTTGCATGGCATTTGCATGAGTTAGGGGCAGTGTGACACAATAACTGAGGCGTTTTGCTTTGGAAATGGAGCAACTGTTTCTGGGCAATAAAAAGTGAACAATAGGAGGGTATTTCTCATCGCCACGGTTCTCATCGTCACCTTCGTGGCGAATTTTATTTCTAACTTATTTCAACTTTTTGTAAACAAAAATTGTAGGGCTTGATGTGAAGATTGTATTCTCAGTAAATCAGTCAAATAGTGAGTCTCGTTTGGAAGCTTTAACGTTTTGAATTTTTTGATGCCACGAAAGTGATTCTGTACTTCACAGCAATAATTTTTTCAAACTTTATATACTGTAAATGACTCTTAAGTGTTTATAAAACATATATTTTGTCTTATTTTCATAGATAAATAACAATAACATAATATAAATAGGTACCTACAAGATAAAATTTTACCGATTACGTCACCTACTAAGTTACAAGATTCTACGCAATTCGTTTTAAGGGTNGAGAAGTACCCAGGAAGTCTTGGTCTGTGAGAGGACATCATCTTCATCATCATTTCAGCCACACAGTCTACTGTTGAACATAGGTCTCTTTCAATGATTTTCATATTGCCCGGTTGATAGCGGCCTGCATCCAGCGCCTTCCTGCTACCTTTATGTGGTCGTCTGTCAGAGATAAATAATTTTAATCCAGGTCTCCTGGGTTCGAGTCCTAAGTGAGACAAATACGGTAAGTTTGAGATCAGCTGAAGATCAGAAAATTAATATGATCTCGTACTTCAGCAATACGTCCGATTGAAATTTGAAATAAGGTAGAGGCTTAGCTTATGAACTTTTACTCTTATACCATTGTTACAATCTATGCGGAATAGAAGAAACAGTATGTTAGGTAGATACCTATAAAATTAAGAAGTTTCTTACTCATCTAGTCGGATGTATCCAAAACACTTATGGTGCAAAAATGCAAAATACATATATGACTGTTGGACGGACCATGTTTGGCTTATCGATGTATCTGAATGCATCTAGTGATGCAATGTGTCTGTAATAGACCAATCAAGAACAGTCACACAGGAAATACTTATGAAGAAAACACATGTTCAATGGCGAGGGGTAACCCGCTGGTCGATTTCACGTATAGAACTTGCTAAAAACTATAGTGAAGTCTTTATTTTTTTATTATTATCATGTAGTTTTAGAATAGTATTATTTAGGTATTACATGCAGCAAAAAAGTATCTACAAGAGACGCACCTAACTAATACTTGCCCGTAAGTAAGCAAAAACTATTAACTAAGTAAAGTACATAGCTGACTTTTATAACATTAGCTTTTAAGTTTAACTTAGAACTGACGTAAACATTGCATTACTCGAAACACTGTTTGGAGATGATGTCAAAGAAAATATTAATAAACTGTGACATTTATAACTAGATGACATCAATAAACCTATTTGTAAACAGCAAGCCGCAATATTTTATAGAAGCGTGACTGTATTGTTTGAAGAAAACTGTCGTAAGCTAAAATTAGTTTACGAGTAGCATCGTATCATAGTTATTAAAAGCTATTTGTATTTTATATTCATTCAACACAACGCTTGTTTATTCGGGTATAAGATATCTACACTAATTATAAAGAGGAAAACTATTTGGTTGTAATGAATAGGCTCAAAAACTACTGGACCGTTTTTAAAAAATTTTCACCATTCGAAAGCTACATAATCCGCGAGTAACATAGGCTACATTTTATTTTGGAAAAAAAATAGGGTTCTGTAAAATATTTGGGTTTTTCGGAATCCACGCGGGCGAAGCCGCGGGCGGAAAGCTAGTCTATACTAATATTATAAATGCGAAAGTAACTCTGTCTGTCTGTCTCTCTTTCACGCTTAAACCACTGAACCGATTTTAATAAAATTTGGCAAAGACATAGTTTGAGTCCCGGGAAAGGACATAGGATAGTTTTTATCCTGAGTTTTGAAACAGGAACGCACGTGTTAAAGTTTTTCTGTGACAGACAAAATTCCACGCGGGCGAAGCCGCGGGCGGAAAGCTAGTTGTTTATAAACCGACAAATATTTCTTTCTTTAAACTGTTACTAGAGACCCCTTTACGTGATTTTCAGACTTTTAGATAAAGTAATAAGGGTAAAATACAATGTAAAAACTAATAATAATCTTAAGGTCTACTTTATAGCCCAGTCAATAAAGTATTATAGAGGGAAATCTGTGGAATACAATATCTGACTTCGTAACTTTATTTAGACTAGTTAGGAGGTGAACATTTATCAAAAGTCCCCGCCCTTAGCCCTTGAGTCGGCAGGGAGAGGAGGGTTTGAAGGTCCCATTTTTCGGTTTTTCGCTTAATTCTCGCAAACTATGCGACCACTAGCAAATTTAATTAGCTTTTTTTGGTTTACCTACTACATCTCTATCTGTAAGTATTATTTTTAGTAACTGAATAAAATTGTGTGAACCCTGGTCTTAAATAAATAAGGCACTAGCATTTCCCGTGCATCTATGTTCTTACTTTATTCATCGTGGGTGGCATAAAACATACAAAGTAAACATTAGAAATCATTTGGAATCCGCTCACAATCCCAAACGGAAAGCATTGACAGTTATGGTCATGTAAAAGTATGTTGAAGTGCATGATGTCATGCAGCGTCACCTAGTCTAGCTTGCTATTGATATTAGTATAGACGTAGGTAAGTTTATCAGATGTATTATTTTGTTAGATACAAAATAAAATTTTAATCTATATCTATAAAAGCGAAAGGTCCACTGATTGACTGACTCACTCATCACGAAGTCTTAGAAACTTCAAGAGCTAGAAGTCTCAATTTTGCATGGGGGTTCCTTTTAGAACGTAGGTGCTCACTAAGACAGGATTTTGCAAAATACTACCATAAGGGTAAAACGGGATCCACGCGTACAAAGTCGCGGGCGGCTGCTAGGTATAGAATAGAATGATACAGTCATCATCATTATTTCAGCCATAGGACTTCCACTGCTGAACATAGGCCTCTCCCAATGATTTCCATGATGGCCGATTGGTAGTGGCCTGCATCCAGCGCCTTCCTTTAATTATTACTTACAAGGCAACTTCAAATCACAATATTATGGTACATCATTTTGCCCAGAAAATCTTCTTTCAGCGTTAAATATTAAATGTTAACTCCTAAAATAAATAAAAAGTAGCGCTGAAAAATGTCAGACGCTTCTACAAAGTCCTAATTGAATGTTACAGGCGGCACAAATTACAAAGTAGAGGGTGTAACATGTCATCCGCTAAAAGCTGCTTTATTTTTCGCTGTCAGCAATACAGATGACGGCACATTGAGGTATAAACTTTAGTATCTTATGCACTTGAAATAGGTTATAGTTTGCAACAAAATCCTATTCTTTTATGTGTTGTCGGCTGTATAAAGTATTTATCCAAAATAAGCATGGGATTAACGAAGTCACGTTTAAGCCGTTGTGCCACTCGTAAACTGTGTGTTTAACTGCAGACTACGTGGCGATTGCTGTGTGACTAATCTGGCACTCTGATGATGGTGAGATGGTGTTACAATAAAGTATGGACCAGTTTTTGTTTTGATGATTTTGTTAAGTGACAAATTGGTTGTCAACGTTAAGAACCTTGTAAATAAATAAGACTGTAATTTTATTGAATAAATACTAAGCCCATAAAGTGGGCCGACGACCTCATAAAGGTAGCAGGAATGCGCTGGATACAATGGAACTCATTGGGGGAAGCCTATGTTCAGCAATGGACGTCCTATGGCTGAAATGATGATGATGGAGAAGTTTGTTTCGGAATAGAATTTTGGATCTTAGATTGCAATGAGACATAATTTAGAGACTGAGACGGCTAGTAAATATAGATTTTTTTTAACCCTTATCTTGGCATGACCAAAAATTCACTACGATTTTAATTTTTTTGATATTTATGAGTTAAGTATGATCCTAATAGGCCAATAAAAATGTTTAAAAAAATATATTGTTTTCAGTTTTTCAGAAACCAAGTGTATCATATATGATACACTGCCAAGATTAGGGTATAGAAAATTGAACAGCTAAAATATTCAAAAATTAATTTTGAATGAACAAAAACATACATAAATAACTTAAAAAGGTAATTTTTAAACTTCCTTATCAAAACAGAAACTCAGAGTGAAAAGAATACGCCAAATCAAATTATAGCAAATAATAATTACTCAGACTCTTTGCTTTTTATACCTACTAATAATGATGAAAGTCATAAAATCGAATAACTTTTTACCACACATAGAAGTTGATTATATTTTGTGCATTTTATATTTATCTGCCCATTTTTCTAGTTTTATATTTTCCACAAGAAGTAAAAAAAGGCCAACATTGTCATACTTGACGGCATCAGAAGGTAGGGTGGATGGAGTTTAATTGATTTTTGTGAACTAATTGCACTCCACAAGCTTGTCCACTCTAATTACTGTATTTCCTACTAATGTAACACTAATATCTTTTAAAAATACGCATTTTTTCTT